CACACACACACACACTGCACATTTCTATAGCCTTTCTGAAAAGAAGCATATCTGCAGTAAGCAGAGGCCAGAGCACACACACGTTGATCATACAGCTGCGTTACCATATCTCTGAGGACATTGCATTGACTTATATTAAGTTCCTGGAGCTTTACCCTAGTGTAGTCTTACATTACCTTAAATCAATTCTTCTAAAATTTGGTAAATCATGTTATGAAAACTTGCTTTTTTGCCCTCCAAAACAAAGCTGAGCCTCCACGTTATGACAGTATAAATAGATTTATGTCCCCATAACACGAGTAATACAAGTGCACACCCAATACCAAGTTCCAGAAGAAGTGCAATGTCAGCAAATGGCTACTGTACACACACACACACACACTCTTTCAACATCTTCAGCTTTCAGAGAAGCAAGGTGGTTGGTCTGTTAAGGCGGTCTCACTCAGTGCGTGGTGCTGTCTGTTACTGTTCCCCAAATTCTAACTCGGCATTCAACTCCTCCTTGTTCAGTAATGACAAAATTACCATTTCAACAAAAAGTTGTTTTAAAAAAAAAAAAATCTTAGATATTAGTTCAATAAGTCCAAGTGAGTGTCATAAGGTGAGGACGATGATAGAAAATCACAATCTGAACAAAATTCAGACAATAATCTTGTGTCTGGATATTCTTCATTTAATTTCATATTGTAGATAAAAAACAAACAAAAAACAAAATAATAAACCTTAACCCAGTCGATAAAAATGTGAAGCATAATGTGTCCTGATCAGGGACACATTATGCTCCAGGAGGGTTTTTCCTGTTAATAACTTTTGCATCTGGATAACTGAGTTAGGGATGACTGATAGTCCTAGAGCCAGTCACCTGTCCTCCTACTTTAAATCATTGAACCGGACCTGTGGGTCAGTCATCGGTGCCTTCTGGGGCATTTTTAATGGATTATCAGATTTCTATTTTGGCTTGCTGTGTAGTACAGACCATCTGAGAAGGTTGGGCTTCGGTTATGGGGCTATGGTGAAATTCCAGTGTTTTATTAGTCTGCAGCCTATATAAATGAGCTGATACGTGTGTCTGTGTACCTGCACAATTCACTGATGATATAGTACCTTGGCGCCCCACCCTTCAATCTAAATGTGGTAACTTCTGGTTCTAAAAAACAGTTCAAAGTCCAAAACCAA